TCCTGCTACTAGCCAATAGCAAACGTCAAACTGGAATTCAAAGGAATATCGTCCTCTAATACTAAAATTTATCTATTGCGCAAGCGTCAGTTTTGAACCAATGAACATACATCCCGCTCATAGTTAAACCACGCCCATTGCTATGGTTTCAAAGGACATAAAATTACGTCCTGGACAAGGATGTTATTTCACAGTTTTCGGATATAACGTGACAGGCACTCGTGAACTTGGTGACGGACCACCAAACGAAGCTTCCATTTACGAAGCTAAACGTCTAATATTGTTGGCAATCTAACATTTTTATCGCTCCTTTTTTTTTTCCCACCCCCATTACTTTTCTAACGCGTAATTATCAATCACACGATTTATTTTTGGGATAAGAGCTAGTGGGATATGAGCTACACCGAACCGTTGTGGGAGATAAATGGAAATCAAGCACAAGTGAGTGAAATATCTAAATTGTGTTCGTTTTTTTTTCATTATATTCCTTCGTACAATTGTTCTTCTTTTTCATATAAACAAAAATTACATTTCAAATATTTGTACATTTAATATTCTATTTTATCTATCGGTTATACTAATATTATTATTCATCCAATAAATGGATAAAGGAGAAATCATCTTTAATACAATAATGTCGGGATTTTTCTTTTCTTTTCCTCGTTAACAAAGTGTAATAAAAATCGAGAATAAGGAAAAAGGGAAATCATGGGAATCTTCTTTTCTGTATAAACACCATAGGTAATCACACAGGAAATGTCACAGTACGTTGGTAGCGAACTTGGAAGTTATCCGATGTGGGACAGTTCCGTTTTGTATCAGCCACCACCGGCTACTCATTCTCACGTCAATGAACACGGTTTGTACAGGCAACCCTGTGCTTTGTTACATCAAAGGTATTTATCATTTATTTGATTTTATCAATTCGTAAAAAAATTCAATTTACATTGTTCCTTTTTTTCTCCTTTTATCATATTACATTCTTTGAGAAAATCATTGCAAATTATCAATACATCATTTAGTCGTTATACACAAAATGGCCGCTCACCGAATCTTCCCTCGTCGACTACGAAAAAACCAAGACGCAGAGTCGCAACAGTTTCTCAAAGAAGAGCCGCTAATATTCGTGAAAGGCGTAGAATGTTCAACTTAAACGAAGCTTTCGACAAATTACGGAGAAAGGTAATTTTCAATTCTTTTCTATATTTTGTGAATTTTTTTTTATTAAACAACAAAATGTCGTTCATATAATTCATTGAAAAAAGAAAAAAAAACAAATAAAATACAAAAAAACGCAGGTGCCGACGTTCGCTTACGAAAAACGTTTATCAAGAATCGAAACACTTCGTTTGGCTATCACTTACATAGCTTTTATGGGAGAATTATTAGGAATCGAACCCACCAGTCCAAAACCGGAATATATACCACGTGAATATTATTTGCCTAATTAAAAATTGTCTAATCGCGAAGAAAGGAAAATGTCTTCCATCGATCTCATTAGATTCTTTTCTTGCATGAAGTTTATATAAAACAAATTGTTATTCATTTTTGTATGTATCATTGATTGAATAATTTTATTGAATTTTTTGATCGATAAACCCGACATATAAATCTTTCGAAATTTAATTTAAAATATTTTCCTTGACGAAAATCATATCGATGCCACTATTACAAATTTATATCGAACGAAATCTATCTAATATTCTACTACGATAATAATAATAATAATAATTATAATTATAATAATAATATATTAATATATTGTACAGGAATTTAAAAAAAAAAAAAAATGAAGAACAAAGTAATTTTCTCAATTCTCTGCTGTGTATAGCATAATTATTATGCGATACTGATCAAGAAGCGGGTACAAACGTAGTGTTAATGAAATTAAATGTTATGTCTGGTCTTTCGTTTTAAAATGACGAAAGGAAATGAGATAGATAGAAAAAAAGAAAGAAAGAGAGAGAGAGAGAGAGAGAGAGAGAGAGAGATTTAATTAAGATGTTAATTTTATATATATATATTTGTGTGTAAAATATTTATAAAAATATTATACATGTAAATTTATATTGTCTCATTAACTTTTCTAATTTATTTATTTAATATTTATCTGCGTGAAATATGTAAAGTAAACAAGTAATTAATAGTTAATTTCTTCTTTCCTTTTTTTAAATAGAGATTAGTATTTAATAGGACAATAGAAATAAATTTAAAAATATAATTTACGTCGAAGTATTATAAACTCGAGAACTATGTCTTCCATATTTCAGGTAAATGTGATATACAGGATGTCCCACGTAACTCTAGTCACGATTTTTTAAGTACTTGCAATAACCTGACAAAAAAATACTTTAAACAAAAGTTGATCTGTTTTTGATTAACTGTACATTATATATATTATATTAAATTAAAGTACACTATTTTCTCTACGCGTAGAATACTTTGTCGAGTAATAAATC